AGAGACAGAGCATGAACGGGGGAGGGGCAGAGAGAGAGGGAGACACAGAATCAGAAACAGGCTCCAGGCTCCGAGCCATCAGCCCAGAGCCCGACGCGGGGCTCGAACCCACGGACCGCGAGATCGTGACCTGGCTGAAGTCGGACGCTTAACCGACTGCGCCACCCAGGCGCCCCCAAGACTTTTAAACTCTTCACCCACATTAAAAGTGCAAAATAAAAACGGAGTTGGACTTTTTTCAAAGGGGATGTTTGAGGAGGATTCCTTGGGAGAGAGCTTCTTGGATCCCTACTCTTTCCCTGGGGTGGGGCGAGCCTGCCGGTGTCCTCAAGGCTAAGCGGGGAGAGCATTAGGTGGACCCACTGAGACACTTCATCCATGTCCCTTATAGTTTGGGGGTCACAGCGGATGAGTGACTAACTCCGTTTGGGGTAGGCTGGGAGGGAGGGAAGGTAGGCTGGCTGTTACGTTTCAGCAAAGATTACTTAATGGGGGCAACCGCTTCCAGGCTTGGTCAGGGCAAATGGGTTGGACATTGTCTGCGGACCAGATATGGCCACACGTGGGGTCTCTCAGGTCTGGTGTAGAGGGACAGTGATTTTAGCAGAATGCTGCTGGAGGGTCTCACGAAATTCCCAGGGGCAGGGGAAGGGGTGGGCAACCAGGCAGCATGGGGACGCTTTCGTCCACATGAAAAGCAAAACAAAAGTTGCTTAATGATCACAGCCCTGGAGGCCCTCCTATCAGCCTGACAGTCACAGGGACATCATCAAAGCAAGATCTGTCAGCAGCGGGCTCAACAGGTTTGTGGGAGGGGACCCAGGGTGTTTGCGAGACGCCATCACGGGGTGGGGAGGCTGGAGAAGGTCAACGGCCGTCGTAGGGCGGACGTGGAAAATACCAAGAACCAACCGCACAGCATCACCGTGAAGTCTTTGTACCAACAATACTGAACCTGGATGTCATCAAACCTCTAGATCTAACTTCTAGTTTAAAGGAAAAACAGGGGAGAGAGAAACAAAAGAAACGTTTGAAGGAAGCAGTCAGGTCATGTCAGCAAGGGATATTCTGCCGAAAAACCAACATCGTTTCTTCAGCAAATCGACGGCAGGAACGGAAAGGGGCAGAAGAGCGGGGAACAAACCTGGACTAAAAGATTTGACAACAGTTAACACCGGGGCGCCTGGGGGGCTCAGCTGGGTAAGCGTCCACTTCGGCTCAGGTCACGATCTCACGGTTCGTGGGTTCGAGCCCCGCGTCGGACTCTGGGCTGACAGCATGGAGCCTGCTGGGGATTCTCTCTCTCCACTCCTCCCCCACTCAGGCTCACTCTCTCTCTAAAAATAAACAGATTTTTTTTTTTTTTAAAAAGGGTCCTCGAGCTTATATCCCAGGGGACCATCAAGGGAAGTCCAAAAGGAGAGCAGACTTGAGGAATCAAGGACTTTAGCTTTGGGGGGTGATAGCGGCCGGTATTTTTCACTTAGGTTCCTCGCACTGCCTTGTTTGAACCTTCCACGAACGCTCTCCCCATGCAGGTGGAGGGTGCTCCTGTTTACAGAGGGCGGCCAGGCTCAGAGAGGCTGACTCCAGGTCACGTGAAGGCCAAGTAGGGGAGCCAGGACTCACGCCAGGCACTGGGGAAGGTTCCCTCCAGCGGACATCCGGCTTCACCGCGTGGTAGCCGTCGGGGAAGGCGGTGCTGGGTCGGCCTCAGGTGCGGCGGCCTCACCGAGCGCCCCGAGGCCTGGGCCGTCCCGGCCCCCGCTGCCAGCCTCTGGAGATCTGCCCGCTGAGCCCCTCACCGTCTTCTGCCTCCGCCCAAATGTCCCCTCATCGCACAGACGGTCCCCGAGCTGCCTTTACAAACAGCCACGCCCTCCCCTTCTCCCATTTTTCTCTGGCTCCTTTCCCTGCTTGGGATTAGTGCCACCTGTCACCTTACACAGAAACGCATTTCCTTCTCCCTCCCGCTCTAGAACAGAAGCACCGTGAAGTCAGGACTCGGCCAGCCCCGGAGGCTCCATGAATATTTATCGAACGAATACATGCGCACACACGAATAAATGAATGTAAAAAGAGGGATGTTGGTCATTTCTTTCTCTACTTGAGAAAATCACGCTGCTGGGAAGTACTGTAATGGGGGGGGGAGCACACTTGACCCTTAAACAACACAGGTTTGAACGGAGGTGCATTTTTTCCGATACAATACAGCACTGCCCGTGTATTTCCCTTACGATTTCCTTAACATTTTCTCTTCTCTGGCTTCCTTTACTGTGACATACAGCATAAAACGCATATAATATAGCAAAAATGTGTTAATCCACTGTTTGCGCTATTGGTAGGCTATTAATAGCTATGTTTTGAGGGAGCCAAAAGTTATAGGTGGATTCTCAACTGCACGGGGTGGGGGGGGGCGGTCCTACTCCCTGCCCCCCCCCCCCGAATGTTGGAGGGTCGAATGTAAATCTGTCTTCCCGTCACTGTCACTATCGAGAGGTGGTAGAGCCCAGAGGAGACTCAGCAGGTTTGAAAGCCGGAAGGCCCCCCCCCAACTTCTACAGGTGAGGGGAAGTCCAAGGTCAGAACTCACCTGGCCGTTGCTCTCTCTGCAACCATCTGAGAAACTCATTCTCTGATTCTTTGCGTTTCCAAAGGTGGATCCCATGATGAGGAAGCGGCCTGGGGAGTCCTGCCTGAGCTCAGGGAAGCCGCTCCCGACCACCCGGCCTCCGGCCGGAGTCACGCTCCCCACAGGCCCGACCACCTTCCTCTTCGTCCTCCTTCCGGCCTGTGGGAGCTGAGCTGCCGCCCACCTGGCCCCAATGGGCCGTGGGGCCCGAGGGTAACGAGCTCACACACACACACGAGCTGCAGCTGGCACCCCAGGGGCCGGTCCTCGAGGCTCTTGGCTGGAGGGCCAGCGGGTGAGGACGCCCCACAGAGGGGCCGGGAGAGTGCCGCTCGGGTCCGTGGCCAGGTGTTTCCAGGCCGGAGAGTCAGCGAGGGGGCGGGGACGTGCCCTTCGCACCTGCTGACCACCTCCCCCCGGGGCCCCGAACCGCGACGTGGCCAGTCAGGGCAGCCGCTCCCCCCGCCCAGGCAGCACCACTGTCCCCTCCCACCTAGAGGCCTCTCAGGCCAGGGCCCGGCTGGCCGGGGGATGCGGCCTGTGTCCCGGGATCCCGCGCCCCCACCTCGCGAGCTGGGCCCCTCGGAATTAACTCTTTGGCACCACAGCTGGGCCCTGACCGAGCCTCCACCCCTCCTGACTGCCCCCGGTTACCGGTCCTGTCGCCCGGCCCCGGAGGCCACCCCGTCCCGGAACCCTGGGGTCTGAGGCCTTTCCGGACACCGCAGGGCAGGCCAGCTTTGAGGTTAAGGCCGAGGCTTGGACAGGAAGCAGCCCGGGGAGCCCTGGCATCGTGAGGACAGCAGCAAAGAGCCGAGGCCAAGGGCGAGGCATAGGTCACAGGGGGCAGATATCCCGCACTGGACTCGGCCGGCCGCCCAGCGGCGAGGTCGCCAGGAGTGGGTGGTGGGACGGGCCCCGGTCCAGCAGGCTGGCAACTGTCAGCACGTCACTTTGCAGGGACGGACGGAGAAGCGGACGTTTTCATGCGTCACCCCGGTCCCTCAGAGCAGCCCTGCCTGGGGCTCGAGTCTCTGCTATGGTTTCCAAGCCAGGGCCGGACCAGAACACCTGTGCCCCCCTCCCGCCGAGCGGGGCTCTGGACACAGGCACCAGCCGCCATCTGTTTGAACCCTGGACACGCCACCTCTCTCCCTCTAACCCTCCTGCGGCCGCCAAACCTGACGGGCACCTGCATTCGCTGAGGAAACTTTACCCACGCAGCCCCGGGACAGAGAAGTCACTGGGTGCAAGTGGAGGGCGGGGTGGGGGTGCAACCACCTGGCCACACAGGGAGGCTGGCCGCAGCCCGGGGATGACCACGCGGGCCGTGTGTGCGTGTGTGTGCGCGCGTGCGCGCGCGTGTGTAGGGGGCACCTGAGGTCTGTACAGAAGGACTCTCCAGGCAACTGCTCCCCCAACGGTGGGGGGCAGGGGAGGTGGGGACAGCGTGGTGACATGATGTGCCTGACTTCCAACCTCATCCTTAGGGTCGGCCCTCTTCCCACAAACTCAGGAGTCACCTGTCGAGGCTTCTCCGTCTGTTTTGTGTCATGAGGAGGCGAGCGCAGGCTGGTGGGCTCAGCGGCGTCTGGAGAGGGGCCCGGGCCTTCCCTTCCTGCCCACGCTTCCCGGCAGGGGCAGGGAGGGGGGGGCGGGGGGGGGTGCTGCTTTCAGAGCGGGGCCGAGTCCCCCCCTCAGGGGAAGGTGGGCAGGGAAGCCCAGCGGAATGGGAACATTACCACGAGGATGAGGAGGGGGAGGCGGACTGAGCAGACTGATCTGGCTCCGTCCAGACCCCCCTCAGCAGGGGAGGTGGCTCAGGGTGGGTACAGCTCCGAGGGACAGGATCGACCCTGCCGGACACAGCCACGAAGAACAAAAACGCGTTTGGGGGGTGGTTTTACATTTCCTCTTTATTTAAAAAAACAAAACAAAACAAAACATTTTTCTGGGTTTTTAAAACTTCTCCAATACATAAAAATTTTCCCGCCCCTTAACGCTTCTTTCTCGCCTCCTTCACCCCTGCTCCTGGGGCCTTCGGCCTGCAAGACCCGGATGGAGAAACCTTTCCAATGGCCAAGATCCGGGAGCTGGAGGGGCTGAGGGTTTGAAGGAAGGTGGTTCCTGGTCAGAAGGAGAAGTTCATTTGCACACAAATATAAACCGTGGAGGATGAGACCAGCACATACGTGTATGGATTGATCTACAATCCGCTTAAAAAAAATAGACCCAAACTGTCATTTTACAACTGCAATATTATACAAAATATTATATATTTTTTAAACGACACGCACCCACACACACGCGCACGCACGCACACAAGGCGCCGGGGCCCCCTCTGCACTTCCGCACGTGGGGACGGGCGTCAGTAGGCGAAGATGACGTGGTAGGTGACCTGGTGCCCATTGTCCCAGGCGTAGAGCAGGCGGTCCTTGGGGTTGTAGTCTATCTGGGTGGTGTAGGAGTACTCGTTCTCAAACAGCAGCCGGGGCACGATCTGCGTGTTGGTGTGGGTGTCGAAGGCGTAGGAGATGTTGGCGTTGCGCTGGTTGTGGCTGTCCACGGCGTACAGCACCCCGCAGATGACGAAGCAGTTGCCGTACAAGTGCCGCCGCAGCCCCGTGCGCCACGTGGTCTCCTTCTGCGTGCTCAGGTCCGCGGCGTTGAGCTTGCTCAGCACGATCACCTCCTGGCTGAAGCCCTCCTCGTCCAGGGCCGGGTAGATGAGCCACAGGCCGTTCTCGTCCACGGCGAAGTCCACGTCCGAGTGGCCCTGCCACCGCCAGGGCGTGGCCTCCTCGTAGGCCACGTCGTGGAGCATGGCCCAGGCGGCCACGAAGCGCTGCTTCAGGTCGTACTTGATGATGTTGCGGGTGAAGGCGCGGTTGTAGTAGAAGGCGCCGCCGTATACCACGTGACCCGTGCCGATCCAGCTGTAGGGCAGCTTGTAGGAGTTGCTCCAGCGACCTGGGGGGGAGGGGGGGCAGTGTGATGGGACCCGCCAGCGGCCTAGGGGTCCGGGCCCCGGGGCTGCGTCTCCGCTCTGCCACTTTCGGGGGGGGGGGGTGGGGGGGGGGAGGGGAATAGGGGGAAGGGCAGTGTGATGGGACCCGCCAGCGGCTAGGGGTCCGGACCCGCGTCTCCGCTCTGCCACTTATGGGTTTCGGCCAGCACACGGCGAGCCTCCGCACGCCCGCCCACCACCCGGAGAGAAGGCGGCCCACTCCCCTCGCCTGGCGGTTTCCAGTCCCGGGGCGCTAACCCACAAGAGCCCGGCCCGCACCCTGGGAGGGGGAGGGGCTGTCACCACCGGCCCCCTCCAGTCCACGACCCAGGAGCTGTGCGCAGGGAATGCGCGGCGGGGGAATGCGGGGCGGGCAGAAGCGGGCCCTCCCGCGACCAGGAAGGACCTCTCGCCACCGGAAGGCGGAAGACCTTTCTCATCCGCCCCTTGCTTCCGGAGATCTGGCCGCAATGGAAGCAGGAGGGGGGAGGGCACCCACGAGGGCCTGCGATGGAAGTAGGGGTGAGGGGTGGGGGGCGGTGGGCAGAGGCACCCACGGGGCCCGCCGCCCGTACCCTGTTTGAAGTTCTCCAAGTTCCGGAACTCCACCAGTGTGTTGCCATAGTAATAGTTGGTGACATAAATCCGCTCATCCTTGGCCAGGGGGTCTTTCATCCAGGCCCCTTCGTTCCGCCCGTACGTGTTCTGGGTGATCGGCCCCGTGATGGTGGACAGGGTGTCCTTGCACCTTCCTGACGGCGGAGACAGGGACGAGGGGCAGGGTTGAAGGGGGACCTGAAGCCAGTGCCCCCCTCCCGGGTCTGACCCCGTGCGGCTTCAGCGGCCTTCGAGGCGCCCAGAGCCGAGACGCCTCGACATCGTCCGCTCCTCCTCCCGTCGGTCCTGCGCTCTACTCACTCCGAGCCACCTGCTGCCACCATCCCCACTGCGTTAGTGTCCCCGTGCGGGCTTGTCAGCCCTACAGACTCCTCCCTCAAGGATCTAGGCTCCAGAGTTCTCTTCTGACACCACAGCCTCCTGTGAAAAACCATCCTACTTCTACTGGATTCCATCTGTTCCCACCGTGCTATGAACGAGCCTCTCCGGGACGTCATTTCTCTGCTGAGTGACCCTGGTGCCTCCCGCTCCGCCCTCCAGGTCTCCCCCACCTAGAATGCGAGCACCGCGGGAGGCAGGCAGGGGGCTTCCTCCTCCCCCACGGTCCTCAGGATACAGCATCTGGGTGGATACGTGGCAGCTGGGGAAGCCCGACCAGAGCTGAGCAACTTGCCTACTGCCTGTGACAGGGACGCGGGGCTCCACCAGCCGCTGAGCTGCCCAGAGGGGTCTGGCCAGGCTGTCTGGGGCCAGGTCAGTCCCGGTTGAGCAGTGGCTGTCGGTGCCCCTGAGGCCCACCCCCTGGGTCCTGGAGAGCTGTCCTCAAGCCCGTGCCCCTGTCGCTATGGTGGGCAAGATGCCAGGGTCCCCTTCTGGGGAGCTGGGGGAACAGGGGACCCAGCTCCACGTCAGGAGCTGCTTGGCTGTAGGCGCCCCTTCTAAGCCAAGTCTGCCTTCGTGGGACAGGAGCTCAGTAACATACCCCTGATGGGCTCTCTGGAGTGACCTCTTGTGCCCAGGAGGGGCCCTAAAAGGCCACGGGAGCCACGCTGAGTTCTAGACCAAGTGGAAAGCCTGCCGTGCTTAATATGTAGTGTTGTTATGTAGTGAGCACAGCCCTCCCAAATACTGAAATGATGTGCGACCACTGAGGATGTGTGTTCTTTCTGTCCCCGCACTGGTGGGTTAGGGAGGAGGTGGGAAGGTGAATCCAGCCCTCACACGGCCCCCTGTCCTGCTCCTCCCGGCCGAACACCCCCACCTGCCATCAAGACGGGCGTGTGCATGGGCGAGAGTGATAAGAGTAACTGGTCCCTGACGTTCACCTGGGACAAAAAACAAAGGCCTACAGTTCAGACTCAGGGTGCTCTCGATTCCAGGCCACCCTCATTTCCAAACTGCTCCGATCCGTTCCATCCATCCTGCTTCCCCATTAGTGGTCTGAGGAAGGAGCTCGAGCTGGCAGGACAGGCAGGCACAGTGCCCTTGGCCCCGAGCCCGGGGCAGCAGGCGGCCGGAGGTGGGATGAACATTGTTTCCCAGGCGGGCCCCACGGCGGGGTGCAACTGGCAGGCTTCAGGCAGCCCTGTGTGGGGTTCATTAGGTCCCGATCTGACAGAGCAGGGAGGGATTCGGTCTCCGTTAGACAAACAACAGAGCCGACCAGCCAAAGCCTCATTCCCCCACATCTGAGCTCATCTGTTCAAGACAATAAACCAGAAGGCTAGAGCTGAGCCCAGGCAGCGGCGTCTGATGGAAAATATCTCGTTCCCTGGCGCCGACCGGGGGTGCCGGCTGATAGGTGGGGAGGCCGTGCTTCCTCTGCGCGGAGGTGAGCCCTCGTGTGCCACCCCCAGGGAGGAGCACTTCTCGTGTCCCCTCTCTGACCAGACTCAGGAACTGCCGATGAGCTCCCGGGAGCCAGGACTCCTCTGAGTTTTTTGAAACACTAGGGTGCCCTGGGCAGCCCGCTAAATCCCTACAGGTCCCGTCTGAGCCCCGAGGCTCTGCTGCGGCTCCCGAGGTGGGGGCGGGGGCGGGGGAGGCTTTAGAATCTGTCCCAGGTTTGGAGCCAGAGGCCTGGCCTTGGTCTTGGCCCTGCTACTGACCCCAGAGTCTGTGTTACCTCCACAATGTCATACAGCCTTAATTTCTTCTGCAGTAAAGCGAGTGTAATATATGTCCTACCTACTTCACAAAGGTGCTCGGAGAGAATCCACTCCGATGACGGCACGGTAGGCTGAGTCATGGCCCCAAAGACACCCAGGTCCTAACCCCTGGAACCTGTGAATGTGGCCTAACATGGCAAAAGGGACTGTGCAGATATGTTTAAGTCAAAGATCTTGAGATGGGGATATCCCGGATTTTCCGAGTGAGTCCCCAATGGCTCAGCAATTCCCTTATAACAGGGAGGCAGGAGATTTGACAGGAGGAAGCACGAGGGACGCAACCGCCAAGCCAGAAAAGGCAAGATATGGATTCTCCCTTGGAGCCTCGGGAAGGAATCAGCCCTCCGACATCTTGATATTAGCCCCCGTGAGACACATTCCAGACTTCTCACCTCTAGAATGGTCAGAGAACAAATTTCCATTGTTTAAGCCACTAAGTTCGTGGCAATTTGTTACAGGAGACATGGACACTGAGGCGGATGGAGTCGGCTCTGGAGTCAGGCGTCCCTACCTCTGTAGTTAGACGGAGTCCCAGCTGGCAGGCACCCAGGACCTCAGATAGAGGGACACGGGCCGGCAGGAGGGCAGAAACAGCGGGCACACACGCGCGGTTTCAGAGCACTTGAAAACATGTTCAAGGTCAGTAAAACCATGAGGCCCAGACCCATCACCGCGGCCTGAGAACTGGGGCCGTTCGGACGCTCCTGCCCTTGGCAACAAACTGTCAGCCTCGGAAGGAAGACGCTTCGTGTTAACAACTCTCTTCAAGGACAGGGAGAGAAAGGCGGGAGGAAGTTCAAAGGAGCCACAGGGGAGACGGGCTATCTGTGACTCATGTTACAAGTGTCCCCCGCGCTCAGTGACGGCAAACGTGTATGAAACCCTCTCTAGGTATCAGCCCCTTTAATCAGACACTTCGGTGGCTCTCCTGCGCAGGGTCCCAGGGGCTGAAAACAAGGGGCTCCTCCCCTGAGCACATGCACCTCCCGCCCCCGAGAAAGGCACCGCATGCCACCCAGTCACCACACCAGGGTCCTGGTCCCTCCTGCTGTCTCCTCCTCCCCCACCCGCAGGTGGCTGTCTCCCACCTCTCCCTCTGCCCGCCTTTCCCCTCCCCACCACTGTGGCTTAGTTCAGACCTCACTGCCTGTTTCCGGGGTCACTCCGGTTACCCCGCTGGCCTCTCTGGCTCCTCTCTGCCCCTTTCTACCTCCCCTGCCCCGTGGTCACGAGCTGTTTTCTGCTTAAACCCTTAACCCGCCATCGCCATCACCGGCCACCGTGGGATGCTGACTCAGCCCCTATCTCGGCACGCCTGTCCTCCTGCAGTCTATCCCTGCCCCCGCAGATCCCCACCAAACTCTGGTGGCTCCGGGGGCCAGGCGGGGACAGAAACAGGTGAAGCGGGGCGGTGTGGGACGACAGGCAGCAATATAGAGGCCGTGGCGGGTTGGCAGAGCAGCTGGCCCGAAGGCATCCAAACTCAAGGCTGTAAGAACATCCTGGGACGAATTCAGCCCTCTGGCCGCCACACTAACTGCCTGTGTTCTCGGGCTGCCCTCTCAGGGTGCACAGGCCTTCGTGGCCTGTGATCTCTGTGCCATCACAGCGGGCCCCCGCTAGGAAGGGGCCGCCCTGGCTTTAACGCTCTGCTGTCGCCATCCTGACGCTCTTGATAATTTTACCTGTGACCTTGTTTCTAGAAGCGAAGTCTAACAGGACCGTGGAGCACGTGCACGTGTACAGGAGCACGCAACACGTGTGTGTCTGCCTTCCTCGTCACCGGTTTGCACACGGCATTTGCTGGGTCTGATGGACACAGGACTCCGGGGGCACCCACTGTGCGCGGGGGTTCAGCCAGACTCGGGTGAGCGCGTTGCCCCCACGGCGGAGCCAGGGGGACCCACGGCCCCAGAGGCCGTGCTTTCCCCGGGAGCCAGGACTTAGCGGAATGTAGAAGACAGTGGCGCATTCAGAAACGTGAAAAACCGAGTAAAGGGCCCTGTGTTATTTCTTGTGTTACTTCCTGGGATTAGCCAACGACCGACAGCCGGTCTTGTTAGCCTTCCCCACCCAGCGGGCTGGAATGGCGCGTCCTGCCATCACGCGCACCTACCAAGAAGGAAAACAAAAGAGCCGAGCGGGCTCCGTGCGGCCTTGCACCGTCCTGCTAAGAACAGAATCTGCCTGCATGAAGGGGCTGTGACGTAGGAATTGCGTCATTCTGGTGACTTCCACACGGGAGTTAAAAGATCTTACATTCGCATTTGAAACTGACGTTTCACAATGTAAACGTGAATGGTAAAACTCACGCAAGTAATTTGAATCTTTAGTATTTCTTCACTTACACTGGCACGAAATAGCAAAGAAAAACAGCATGAGAGAGAGAGAGAGAAAAAGAGAGAGACAGAGTCACCGCAGAAGAAAGGGAAAAGCTTCTATTCACTACCTCTCGTGACGCCCCACCCCCCGCGCTCTCATTCCGGACGAGGCTCCACAAGTCACTGGCCGCCCCGACCATGCCGCTCCCGCAGTCCCACCTTCCACCTTCCTGCTCGGCCCGGCCAGTTCTTCCTCATCCTTCGGGATGGCCGGTCCAGCTCTCTTTCCAGGACAGAGTCCCTCGGACCCAAAGCACCCCATGCATCCCTCCGCCAGAACTGGAACGATGTTCACGGGTCCCAAACACGAGCGGGGACACTACCTCGCCTGAGTTGTGAACGCCTCCTGCACCTGCCGCCAACCTGCTGAACACCTGCCTTCCGCTGGGCATCTCAGGTCCCGCCTCAATAGCTCCCTACCACTTTCTGAGTTGAGGCTGCGATCCCTTTCATCACCAGGCCCCTGTCCCTGTTCCCCCCCAGCATGTGCCCTTGCCTGGGGGGCTTCCTTTGCGCCCCCCAGGCAGGTGGCTCTGCCTGCAGGGGCTGCTCTCCCCCCACCCCGGGGGGGCCGTATGCTGGGGGGCCACGCCTGGAGATGGGGGTCCACAGTCAGAGCTGCTGTCGGCCTTGGCCGGACCAAGAACGTCCCCATGTGCACGGCTCCCTCAGGCCACACTAGCCACTTGTCCCCGCCTAGTCCCCCTGGGACGGGAAAACAGCTCCCGCCCTTTCGGGCACCAAATGAGCCTTTTCCTGGCGGAGAGGTGAGGACTGGATTCCTCAGCCCCTTACAAGGAAGCCTCCACTGCATACTCCTGCTTCTAGGCCCAGGGCTCCTGCTTGTGACTGAGGTTCCCTGTGGCTTCAGGGGGCCGCTTAGGTGACTGGGGACAAAGCAACTGACAGCAGAGTGCCCGTGGGGTCGGGGAACGAGCCTGTTAGGTGGCAGGTGGCGACTGGGGCAGTTCCTGTCCGGGCGCTGCGGGGGGGTCCGGCCAGCACTGCTCCTGGCCCGTCAGCACCACCTTCCTCACGCAGCCCAGACCGGCACCCCCTGATACGTGGCAGGCAGGGCTGGTCACCCCACCCATCACCAGAGGGCCGCCAGACCTCGGGACTGTTAGTGTCTCGGGCTTGTGGGGGAGACCGGTCTTCACAGATCGGGTTTCCTGGGTTCAACGAGAAGACGGGCTCTCACGGGTACTGTCGTCATCCTGACGGTCCCCTTGTCTGCTCCTCCCCTCTCCTTCCCCACCCCAAACCAGCCCCATGGAAAATCTTGAATCAGGAGCTGCAGCTGTTGGAGTCTGGGGCTCTGCAGAGCCTGGCCCACGTGGCATAGGCTTTTCCTCCTCTGCAGGAGCCTCAACAGCCATCCCCAGGCCCCAGGTTGGTGGCTGATCCCTCCCCAGGCTGCAGGGACAGTGGCTGACCCCTCCCCGGGCCCCAGGATGGTGGCTGACCCTTCCCTGGAGAGTTGGCAGCATCTTTCCTCTCCTGGTCCTACAGTGAGTAGACTTTAGCCAATGCTTGTTTTCATAACCAAAAGTTAATTCTGATTTACTTGTTTTTGGACTTTTTCTGAAAGGTTTACAATTCTCCTGAGGATCATGGTAGACATTTTAGGACATCACAAAATCAGATTTGGAAAACATGGCATAGGACGTTCCTTTTAAAAGCAGCCCCATTTAAAACTGCATCTCAAATAGCTCAACATCAAAATTGCCAGACTCATTAAACAGCAAACAGCCTCCACGGGCAGCATACTAGTAGCCTGTGTCGGTTTCAGCCAAATGGTTTTTATTTACCTGCAACTAGGACACGTGGGTGCAACCTGGTCTAACTCAGCCGGGCACAGACAAGCAGGGGTCTGCAGAGAAGGTTCCGGAAAGGAAATCCCATCCACACTAACAACAGCTCGAGGGAGCCACTTGACAGCGATAAACGATTAAAAATGATCCCCCAAAACGAGGCAGCCAAGACCACGCCGCCGGAGACACAGAACTTTCCTCTCTCTGTAACCCCCTCTCTTTTCACCCCTCAGTGTTCGGAGAAAACACCACATGTATGTTCACATCCCTGTGTTTTCTCTGCAGTGGACTCCAGAGGCAAGGTTTTTCTTCTGGAAAACCCTCTGGGCCAGTCTTTAGGCAGACCCTTATATCCTCTACGTGCCGATGTCATTCTGGTCAAACAGAATACTGAACAGCAAGAGAAAATGATTTCCCAACTCGGGCTCCCGCCAGGTAAATGGCCACGAGGATGCCAGGTTTCTCCCGCCTGGACCTCAGCATCTCAGACAGGCTACCGGAGGTGGACAGAGTCCTAAGAGCCCCAGAAAGGCACGTGTTGGCAGCTACATTGGGGGCAACCACCCGCGAGGGCAGGCACAGCAGAGAACCCCACTCCTGGCTAGGAAGTCACCCAGGGAAGAGCTCTCAGGCTGATAAATAGCATCGCTGAGGGCACACAGGTGTGCCGGTTCACCTGTAGCCTGTCTTCACCGTCAGTATCTGAGCCACCCGTGGAGGGACAAGTCTTATGGACGAACTGTCCCTCCCACTCAAGGGGGAAGCGGTGGGGGGCACCGGGGAGCTCACTCCATTTGGGGGGGTATACAGTGCTGATCTCGGGGCCTGTGGTCCCATGAGCATGGTCAAGGCCGCCCAGAGCCAGTGCGGGAGTGGAAAGCTCGGGCTCAGACCCCAGGACGTTCTGCAGAAATTGGGTAGGACCCGTGGCTTCAGGAGGGACTTTCCACGCAGTAAGGAGCCGCCGTCTACACTGTGGTCAGCTTGCTTCCGCCACGGAAGGGAAAGGAAAGGAAAGGAAAAAAAATGTTCTCTCCTGTTCCCACCCCAACCTCTGCGGCCCAAGAACTGCCTTCTTCTCAAGGTTCATGAGATTTTGCCCTGGGGTCTAGTTTTCCTGGATATTTCCCTGCTCCCACTCTGCCGTGATTCTGGGATTTTCCCCCAAGAAGAATCTCTTGCCCTATCATGGCCTGATAAACCTACCGCAAACAACAACAACAAAAAGCCATAGGATTTCACGCAGACGACAGTCTTTAGCAGATTTCTGATTTCATGTGAGGCCCACAGAAAGGCAGGGATTTGGCCAAGGTCACACAGCTGTCAGCGGCCGGGACCAGACTACAACCCAGGTGTTTGCTCCCGGCAGGTGCTCTGTCCACCACCTGGTCCGACAGCAGCTACCAGCACCTTGTTGGGAGGAGGGAACGGGAAGAAGGAAGACCTAGGCAGAAGGCAAACCGTGTCTTCTGCAAAGCTTGTGCACTTTTCAACAAGCATTTTGATGAAACTATGATTCAACAGTGTTTTCATTCACTACCCGTGGCGATTGAACTAAAGTTGGGTGTCGTTCTCTTTGGGAGAGGCACCTGTGGCTCCCCCCTCCTTCTGTTGTCGACTTTCCCCCACCCCGTGTCCCACGGTTCCCAGAGTCCTCCTGTGGCCGCGGAGCCCCCAGGATGGGGCACAGAACAGGGCTGCACTCCTCCATGCTTCTGGGACACGTCTGCTCCTTTAGGCCCAACAGTCAGAACGCTTCCCTTTCTCTGTTTAGAAAACTCCTGTTCATCCTTCAAAACCCAGCTCAAATGACGCCCTCCTCAGGAAAGCTCCCCCAGCCTTCTTGGCATCCGGGCCAAGCTGGTGCTCCCCTTTCCACTCCTCTGTTCCTCCTCTGTGAGAGCATTTGCCACACGGTGCTGCGATGTCCCCACGCTCTCCAAGGCCGCCGCTCGTGAGATTTGGCCCTGGGGGGCCCGTTGTACTAGTTACTCTCCTGCCCCCTCCCTGACCCCACAAACAGGAACCCCTTGTTATTTCACGGCCTGGTAAACCTCCTGCAGAAAACTTAACTCAGTCACTGCCAAATAGCCAGTCCCCACTACAGGAAAGCACACCAGTGTTTACAAAACTGACCAAAGCAGGCGGGGCCCTGGCTCCGCCGATTTCGATTTACTCTGGAAAGGAGCTTCCCACCTGGCTCGCCGGCCACACTATGAACGCATAAACCCAGGGTCAACCTGCGGCCGAAGACGCAACTCCACTCACTCTCCTTTCCGGAGAAGTCTGACCATCTGGCTCCTGTCTCTCCATTCAACCTCTCCCCAGGCTCAGCCTGTTACCGCGTGAGCGGGAGACAGGGCCAGGCAGAAGGAACTCACCTATGACATTCCGGATGTCATCCTCCTCCTCCGGGCTCAGGGTGGGGCTGGCGGAGGCCCCGCCCTGCCCCGTGGCGGCGTCTCTCCCCAGCGGGTCCGTCCTGACTGTGGTGGGAGGCACCAGGGCCGTGGGTGGAGCCTCGGTAAATGCGTCCCCAGAGGCCCCTGGCATGGAGGCCGAGGCCGGAGGCTGCTGGGTGGCTGTGTGGGCCACGGTGGTGGCTGGTGCCTGAGTGGAAGGTTCCAGGCCTGCCCCCGTCGTGGGACCTGGAATCACGGAGGAGGTCTGGAGCGGGTCTGGGAACCGCGTCGCTGAGGGGGACAGGGTGGGGTCGGGGGAGCTGGGATCTGAGGGCGAGGCCGGGGCCGAGGTCTGCGTGTGGGTCGTGCCGGTGGTGCCCTGGTGGGTGGCCACCGGCCTCCGGGGGGCGCTGGTCAGCAGGTCGTTGTGTCTCAGAAGCTGATCTTCAATCAGCAGATCCACTCCGTTGTCCCCACTGAAAAACTCGTCTTCTGGGAAACAAACAGAAGGTCATCTGTGATTCGGGCGGAGGAGCACTGTCAGGCGGGCAAGAGTATGCGATATTCGGCAGATTAATAACAAGGTTTCTTTCCTCGACATGACGGCCTGATTCAGAGATGCAGCCCGGCTGGGATTGCAGAAGAAGCAGGTGGGAAGCAGCAGAGATGGGAGGGCTCTGCATCTCCTGGAGGGTCTCTGAACAGACCGCCTCTGGGCTCCACCCGGTGTCCGGGGCACCGGGAGGACGCACAGCCACGACCTGAGCTGGAGGAAGTCACCCCACCCCTGTCCACTCCCCTGGCAGACGCATATGGAGCACATTCAACAACGGTGAGCAGAACAAACATCCTTCCCCTTCATGGAGCTTCTGTCCAATGGTGCAGACACTAAACAATAGACAGCACACTTACAGTGCTTGGGGGAGAAAGTCGAGGGGGGTGAGGCATGCCCTGGAGCAGGGAGGCGAAAGGAGACTTCCAGTAATGGATAAAGTGGTCAGGAGGGAGATGAGCAGAGGCCCTAAGGAGGTGAAAGAGTTGGCCAAGCAGCCATCAGAGGAAGAGTATTCTGGGGAGAACAGCAGCAGTGCAAAGGCCCTGAGGCCAGAACCTGCCTGCGAAGGCTGAGGAGCAGCCAGTGTGGAAGAAGCAGAGGGTGTGAGGGGAGAATAACAGGTGACATCAGGGAGGACACAGGAGCCACGTCACATTGGGTTTGGCTGCTGTTTGGACTTGAGATCTTCTTGTGCGTGAAATGGGGGACTGTGCACGGTTTTGAGCAGAGAAGGAATATGAGGAGGCAAAGATCTCTTAGGACACAAAGTCTAACCACAGATGAAATAAACAGAGAATTGCATTTCATCTGTTTGTTAAAACCACCATTAAGGAACTGAAGCCATGGGCAGGGCAAAAACGTTTGCAGTACATACAATGAACAAAGGACTTGTTCCAGAATATGTAAAAGAAAAAAAAATCCCATAAGTCAGTAATTTAAAAAGACAGGGGCGCCTGGGTGGCTCAGGTGGTTAAGTGTCCGGCTTCAGTTCAGGTCATGATCTCACAGTCCGTGGGTTCGAGCCCCACGTCGGACTCTGTGCTGACGGCTCAGAGCCTGAAGGCTCCTTCGGATTCTGTGTCTCCCTCTCTCTCTCTACCCCTCCCACACTCATGCTCTGTCTCTGTCTCTGTCTCAAAAATAAATAAACATTAAAAAAAATTCTTTTACATGGGCAAAATGACTATGCCAACAGCTAGGTGAGCATCAACTGTGAGGAGGGACAGGGGAGAAGCCCAGGTACCCTGGAGACAGGAACAGGTGCGGCGGGGGGCGGGGGCAGGGGTCTGAGCACATCATCCCACCTCCAAGCCTCAGGGTCCTCATCTGCAAACTGGGAAACCAGGCTGGGGGGTGGGGGTGAGGGGTGCACAGAAGTCCCTTAAAGCTCTGCTGTGTGATCTTCTGCAAGCCCAGAGAGGTCAAGTGACTTGCCCAAAGCTGCTCAGCAAACTGTGAGAAGATACAGCAGGAACTCTGGATAGTTCGTAACCACAGGCAATTTTCCCATGACCCGGCTGGCCCGGAGAGGCCACGGCAGCAATCGGACCCCAGAAGGGGCGTGTGGCTCAGAGGACGTGCAGATACACAGGGTGCAAACGGTGACTCCCTCCCCACCCCGCCGACCCCCAACTCACGCTGCTCTTCGATGTTGTTCTCCTCCTCTGGGACCTTGGCCTTGTAGTAGGTGATGCCCCGGATGACGGTGGGCTTGGAGGCCGGCCGGCCCCGCAGGGGCACCTGCCTCTGTAGGGGCCGCTGTGGCCTCACCACCTCGGGCGGGGCCAGGGGCCGCGTCTGCAGGAGCTCGATGGAGTTGATCTGCTGGGACACGGTTTCTTCCTGCAGAAACCGCTCCTCATACTGTTCAGAGGGGACACAAGTTAAGGTCAGGTCACTGGCCAGACAGGCAGTGGTAGGAGGAGGCAGTGCTGGAGCCGGGACACTGTCCTACGTGCTTTACGGACGCCAACCAATCTTCCCCCGAGTCCCATGAGGTAGGAGCTATTTATCACTCCCACGTACACATCGGGAACCTGAGGCACAGAGACGTCATGTAAATTGCCCAAGGTCCCACAGCAGGTTAAGTGGTAGCAGCAGGATTTGAACCCAGGCCCTCTGGCTCCAGCACGTATCTCTGTAACGTCCACACTGTGCTTCCCAGCCTAGGGCTGCTGTGTGACTTAGATCTCGTCTCAGCTGTTTCCGGGGAGGTCTGTGTGTGGGCAACGGTGCCCAGGCTGGAACATGAGGCCCGAGAACCAAGATGCACCCCTCGGGATGAAGCTTTTCCTTCCACGATCAGAAGGAACTGCTCCACAGCCTCCCTGATGCATCCAGGATAAAGCCCAAAGTGCCTGCCTGGCATTTTCCACCCTCTTAAGCACGGACCCGGACCCAGCTCAGCATTCCCCTGTCTTGTCCTGCGCCCCCAGCGCCAACCCTTCCTTGGTGCTTCAGTCACCTGGCTGACTCCTCAAACTCTCGGCTCTCCTGAGCTGCTGGGCCTTTGCTCGGACTGTTTTCTCCATCTGGAAGGCCTCCTCTCTTACCCCCTCTAGCTACCTATCATAATGTACCCATTTCGCAAGGCCCCGCTAACCTCTCACGTCCTTAAGAAAATAGCCCCAGCCCTTCTCGTTCATAATTAATCTTTGTTTCCCAGTTCTCACTCTGCACTTTGTGGCAGAAACTTCTAACCGACCACGTAAATCCCGTCTCCTTGTTCCTCTCTAATGGGAAGCTGGCTTTGTGGGAGGGGCCACGGGACAAAGTCCTGGCCGGTGGGGTATAAGTAGAAGTTGGTGGAAAGAGCTTTTGGACGAGCTCCTTAAAAGGGAGGCTGAGTCAGCTGGAAGGCATCTTTCGCACTCTTCCTGACTGGTCTGGCCTGAAATGCGGACGGGCTGCTAGAGTCGAGCAGCCCTCCTGTGACCAGGAGGGGGTCTGGAGGATGGATGCCACTGATGGCACCATGAAGTTAACCACCCACCACGGTCTGCCTGCCCCTGGAGCCCTTCTACACGAAAGAACAGCAGGCTCGGGCCTTCTCCTCACGATGCTGAACACAGCTCCTAAGGGACATAAGTCGATCCCTTCTACCACAGCACCTCTCCCAGCCTGCCTTCCATGGGCATTATTTAAGAATTTGCCTCGGGGCGCCTGGGTGGCGCAGTCGGTTAAGCGTCCAACTTCAGCCAGGTCACGATCTCACGGTCCGTGAGTTCGAGCCCCGCGTCGGGCTCTGGGCTGATGGCTCAGAGCCTGGAGCCTGCTTCCGATTCTGTGTCTCCCTCTCTCTCTGCCCCTCGCCCGTTCATGCTCTGTCTCTCTCTGTCCCAAAAATAAATAAACGTTGAGAATAATACCTTTAAAAAAAAAAAGAATTTGCCTCTGCAGACCATATGGAATAGAAGGACAGCAATCACCTCTTGCTCATTTTTGATGCCCCTGGCTGGGCGCTCCTTAATATTTACATTGAATTTCCCTTAAGTCATCTCTGTGCCCAACACGGGGCTCAAACTCATGACCCCAAGATCGAGAGTCGCCTACTCTACTGACTGAACCACCCAGGCACCCCCCGTTGCGCTGAATTTTTTAATCAGAACAAATCCCGAGGAACAGTCTACATTTGTGACTGGCATTGGGATTCTGTCAAATGATGCTTTAAAGTGGGCAGCCCATGACCCAGGCCTCTTTTTTTTTTCTTAAGTTTCATTTATTTAAGTAATCTCCTCACCCAACATCGGGCTTGACCTCATGGCCCCGAGATCAAGAGTCGCACGCCCCTCCGACGGAGCCAGCCGGGCGCCCCGACCTGGGTGTCCTGACAGCACCCTGAGGACGCTGCTGTGCTGGTTTTGGTCCAGCAGAAGAAGCACCCTGTCCTCCGTGGAGCTGCTGCCCAGGGAATGGCCTCTTGTGTCCACGGCGTGGCACGCTCTCTGGGTCCTGCCTCGGTCTGTCTGGTCACATAGCCGCCCCCAACCCAGGATCCCGATCACCCACCACTGAAAACAACAGACTTTGGGCACAGGTTCCTGGGAGCCGAGTTCAAAGCCAGGGCCGCCCACAGGTGGGTCCAGTTCCTGAGGGGTGTGGCCCTGCCCTGCTCTCAGGAGGAGGGCTGCGGGGGCTCCATAGTGAAGAGGAGGCTTCCTGTCGCCCCCGAGCCATGGAAGCCCCCTCCTCACCACGACGAGGTGGGCAAGCGCCCCTAAATCCCGTTACCTGAGACCCCAGTGACATCCCCCCAGAGAAGCAGAGCCCACTGAGAAACAACACCTCTGTCCCCGGAGGCCCAGGGTCCTGAGAGGCAGGGCAGGGCCTTCAGGGTCACAGAATATGAGCTGGAGGAAAGCCAGCCCGAATGGCCAACTTTCTCACTTTGCACAGAAAGAAGCAAATAAGGCTCTTGTTTTGACCTTAAAAATCTGGCCTGGAGGAAACCTGGAGTCCTTCCCGACCACACCCCCAAGGCTGTACTGGGTTTCCGTGACAAAAGAGCTGAACCAGGTGACAGAGCAGACATGGCAGCTCCATGCTCCCTGGCGTCCCGTGGGGACCGACTTCTCCAAAGCAGGGGCACCTCTCTGCCAGCCTCCCCTGGCTGGGGCCAGACGGCGCTCTAGAAAGGGGCAGGCGTGTGCCCAGGGGAGCCCCCACTCCTGTCACCTGCCCCCTCCTCAATTCCCACTTCCTGCTGGTGAGCTGAGCTGGACTAGAGATGCAGGGATACGTGGCCTGTGGGGAAGAATTGCAGTGGGCTCCCATTCTGACCAGACGCGTCCCTTTATGGCATTTTTTAACCCTCACGACAATGAGGCAAGGTAGGGAGCACTTTACAAATAAGCAAAGAGGGGCTCGGGGTCATTTAGAAATTCGGCTGAAGGTCAATCAGTGAAGTGGCCGAGAGGGGCACTTCCGAATTAGGCCCAGGGCTGCTGTCTTTAGAGCCTGCACGCTTCCTTACATTAAGCCACACTGCCCACACCGGTGACCATGGGACGGACTTGTCTGCCATCCAAAAACTCGTCTACACCCCCAAGCCCACAAGGCCATGGTCTGGCTACTGCCCAGCAGACTTGGGGATCCCTCATTTCCCACTGGGAAAGGAGGCTGGGAAGCTGAGAAGAGGCCCCCAAGCGCCTGACTCAGACGCTGTGGGCCGGCTAATTGCTGGACCCTGGCCTCCCTCCGCATTGCAAAAGCAGGTTGTCATTTCTTCATGGTAAACCCCAGGAACTGTCTTTAATTCCAGGCTCTCCGGGACAGGCGGGAACTGCAGTTCCTTCTCCCAGCCAAGCAGATGGAGTAAGACCATGGCGGCCTCTGCCAGAGAACATATAATTTCCCTGGATCCGCTGGCGACAGGCTGTGCTGGGCGGCCGCTGCCCCCACCAAGCTTTGATTTCCTCTCTCTGTTAATCCAAGAGTCTGTTGTATGACTTCAACTCCTGGCGTCCCTGTGTCCCCACTCCCAACCCGGCCCCCAGAGCCCCTTGCCAGCCCTCCAGGCAGCGACCTTGTTGGAGAGAGGCCTCCAACAAATGGCCATTCACCACGCCGAGAAACCCCAACATCATCGACGAGAACCCTGAAAATAACCACCGAACCCAGCACCCCATTTGCCCCCTTTTGAGTCATGGGGTTCGCTACAGAGACAGAAAGATGAAGCGGGGGGGGGCAGGAAGATCCTAGCCTTGGCCTTCCCCCTTCCCACCCCTCCCCGGCCCAGGCTCTACCCCCTGGCACGGGAGGATTGTGCTCACCTCAGCAGCGTGCTGAACGGGGATTTCAGGAGGGGAAAGGGCTTTGCTGAGCAAGGACAAAACGGGTTTGGTGCATTTGATTTGGTTTACTGTTTGCCCTCAGGAAATATGAGCCGGGTTGCTGAACATACCACATAATGTATCATCAAGACAACAGACGGGTTCTCAGGCTCAGCCGACTGGGAAACTGGAAGCCAGAGAGGGCAGGGAATGCCGGACTCCGCTGGGCACTGGGCCAGCTCAAGATGCCAGACGGGCTGAGACAGGAGTGGCTGGGTCCCAGGTGCGGGGAAAGGGTACCTCCAAGTTCCCTTCCAGCCCAAATGTCTTCAGCTTTTTGGTTTAGAAGCTCAGATCTGGGGCGCCTGTTGAGCGTGCGACTTCGGCTCAGGTCATGATCTCACGGTTCGTGAGTTCGAGCCCCGTGTCGGGCTCTATGCTGACAGCTGGAGCCTGGAGCCTGCTTGGGATTCTGTGTCTCCCTCTCTCTCTGCCCCTCCCCCACTCATGCTCGGTCTCTCTCCCTCTCAAAAATGAACGTTAAAAAAAAATTTGTAAGTTCAGACTTGTTCAAGGATGACCCACTAAGCTGACTAAACACATGCTCAGCAGCTAGTGCCTTGGGGACAACTAAAAATGAGAATAAAAATAATTGCTTAAGAAACATGGTATTTCCAAAAAATCATCAAAGCAGTCATCATGGGCCAAGCCAGAAAATTATTGGCCTTCCTTATACTTATTTTCTGGTCTGGAACTGGTTTTATTTTCAATTCCTTGTTGGGCAGGGTGCAAGTACCGTACGGTCTTCAGGGTTTCTGGCCTCCACAGTCCTGATCTGCCCACTGTCCTGCCTTCGGAATACATGTGCCCAGGATTTCCCCTAACCCACAGCTGCTGCCTGCCTGGCATCTCTTTCACGAGTCTCCAAGCGTTCCGAGCATCGGCTGACTTCCTCTCTTACCCCAGTTCCTAGCGGCCCAGGCAACAGGCTCCTACACAGCAATGCCTAGCCCTTCTCTACGTCGCTGTGCACAGCAACGGCTCAGACGCTCTGAGTGTCCAAGGCCCTGCGCCCTGCCTGCCCCCCAACACCCTGCCAGGGGACACCTCGGCGGCAACACTCACTCACAGAGCCCCTCTGGGCCACAGAGTCAACCCTGCCCCATCACACCCACAGAACTGCTACCTAGATAAAATGACACCGTGACCGTGAAAGAACCAAATCCGGCAAAGCTCTGTGCAACGCGTGAGAGCCATGCCAAGTCCGCATGGCAAGAGGAAGGTGACCGGGCACCAATGGGTTCCGCAGGTGGCAAGCGTGGGGCTCGTGGGGGTCAGAGCAGAGAGGGAATGGGCACAAAGCAGGCTGTGCTCGGAGGCCAGGGAGCCGGGGCCGTACCTCGGGGTGGGTGTAGGCGGCCGCCGCGTCCCTCTGCAAGGCCGAGCGGACGTCCGGCATGCTGTCCAGGAGGCTCTTAGAGCAGTTCTCTTTCCCCCGCTTGTTCATCTCCGTTCGGATTTCTTCCATGTCTTCTTTGATTTGCTCATTTTCCTTGGTGAGGTTTTTGGAAACTTCCTGAGAAGAGAAAAAATGTAAAAAAGAAAATCCATGATGAGGCATCTGGGTGGCTCAGTCGGGTAAGCATCTGACTTGGGCTCAGGTCACGATCTCACGGTTTGTGAGACTGAGCCCTGCATGGGGTTCTATGCTGACAGCTCAGAGCCTGGAGCCTGCTTCGGATTCTGTGTCACCCTCTCTCTCTGCCCCTCCCCTGCTCAGTCTCTCTCTCCTTCAAAAATAAATAAATGTTAAAAACAGTAAAAAAAAAAAGAAAAAGAAGATCCATTAATGTCCTCTAAAGATGGACAGAAGGCAGCTGGCAGCCATCTTCGGCTCAGAGCTAGAAACGCAAAAGCAGGCTGAGAAATCGGCCAAGAAGTGACTGGGGCTCTGGAGAGGTCCGGCCCTGTGCTGAGGGCCAGATCCCAGGCAGTATTTCTGGGCCAATACGGCTCTGGGGTGTCCCACTGCTGGACATGCTACCTCAAACTCCCATAGCTTTCCTAGTCATGACACTGCCTTGTCTCTAGGTCACCAGGACACCTGGCTCCTTTTCTGTCATTTGCACACGGTCGTCCTTACCCGGTGAGAACTAACACTACAAAAACTTCCACTCATACCCCATACATGTGTACCAGCAGCTCAATGAACGGAAGAAGGGTTTTTAAAGCAATTTTAGAAGAGGTGGCTGAAGACATCTACTTAACCTGCATTTCTAATGAACACAAACTAACCCCCAACACTTTGAAAGCATCATTTACATAGAAAACCCACAGGCTGGTTTTAAACTTCCCTATTTACCCATAAAAACAGATTCCCTAAATGACTTCCACCTGGCAAAGGAATGGTGTTCCAGTCCTGGTTCACACCGGAAGGGACCAAAGGTACATCTAAGCCAACCAACACTGGTGAGTACCTCCTATGTGTCTAAGGAGCAAAGCCTCACGATACCCTGGGGCTCTTGGTCTGGGGGTGCCGGGGAGGTGCCAACTATAACTGGGAAGAAGGTCCGCGTGGCAAGAGGAAGGTGACTGGGCACCAATGGGTTCCGCAGGTGGCAAGTGTGGGGCTCGTGGAGGTCAGAGCAGAGAGGGAACGGGCACAAAGCAGGGCCCCAGAGGCGGTGACGCAGCACGGGATTTGAACCAGGGATGGGTACCGACAGGCTCAGAGGGGCCCTTCTCCTCCGGTTATTCTGAGGGAGGTTGGTTTACCGCACGGAGACCCAACACTGTCCTGCTCTGGCCTGCATTCTAGTTTGCATGAGCATCTGAGTTTTTATTTTTTAATTTTTTTAACGTTTATTCATCTTTGAGAGACAGAGACAGATAGGGTGCGAGCCGGGGAGGGGCAGAGAGACAGAGGAAGACACAGAATCCGAAGCAGGCTCCAGGCCCTGAGCTGTCAGCACAGACAGGTGCCCCGTGAGTTTTCAGATGGGATGTTCTCCTTGGGCCGTGATTATGACGTGGGTAGAGGAAGCCACCACGTAAAACAGAAGATGCATTTGCTTTCTGTCTTGGGGACCGTAAAAGCACAGACGTTGACAGGCACAGCCCTGCAGCCTGGCAGGACACTAAGTCCTAGAGGAAAGCCGCCGTAGCTCCGAGTGGGGTGTACAAGTATCCAGGCCGGCAGTAACCCCCGGCATTGTGGCTCCCGTGGCTCCCATGGGGGCTCCCCTGACCAGTCTACTAGGCCCCGGAACCACCGGCCATGCCATTGTCCTGGCATTTCATTTCACGGCAGATTTCGAGCACTGGAAGGACTTGATGTATTTTGTGGGGCTCAGGCTAAGCTCGTGTCTCTAAATGGCAGTTAACTGTGAGAGAGAAAGCCCCTGAGAAAGAAGTCTTCTTTAAGGAATACCCAGAAAGAGCAGTCTTACCGGCGGTCAAGTGCAATGGTTAAGAGCATGGATTCTGGAGGGAACAGTCTGGCTTACATGTCAATGTTATTCCTACTTCTTTGATCCTAGACAAATCAAAGTCCCTGAGCTGCAGTGTCCCCAGGGGTAAAATGGAGTAATACTAGGATTTTCCCTACGGATTATTAGGAGTAAATAAGTGAATATATATGGAAGTGCATGAGACATGGTGATTATTTTTGATAGGATGTTACAGCTGGGTGTTCTAGGCCCCTGCAGGATCCCAGAATTCACGCCCTTCTCAGATGGGGAAACTGAGGCCCAGAGGAACGATGTGGTTTTCCCACGATGATAGACACAAAAGTGGCAGAGCTGAGCCCAGCACCCGGCCTCCCGGCCCTTGCTTCCGCAGTTCACTTGTGGAACCACTAAGACGGCCGGGGGGAGGGTCCTGGAGCTCAGCCAGTTCTTTGAGCAGTGGGGAGCCCATCAGAGGGGCCTGTGAATGTTGCAGTGTGGTCTCAGGGTATGTGAGAGAATATGCATATGCAGAGAAATGCAGAAAGGGTGGATTCCCCTAAGTCCTTGTTACACAAAGCATGTCTCAGGAACCTGTTAGGAGTGCAGTCTGGGGCCCGGCCCAGGCACCTGCGGAATCAGAATCTGCGTTTTAACAAGACCTGCAGGCGATGTGCATACACATCAAAGTTTGAGAAGGGCTGTCTTAAATGTTGGAAGCTTGGGGTACATCTGCTGGAAACAGGGCCAAAATGTATGAAAGGGGCTGTTTTACCGGAGCCAAATATTTGGATTCACACGTTTCTTTTTTTGTTTTTAAAGATTTCATTTTTTATTTATTTATTTTTTTTTTTTAATTTTTTTTTCAACGTTTATTTATTTTTGGGATAGAGAGAGACAGAGCATGAACGGGGGAGGGGCAGAGAGAGAGGGAGACACAGAATCGGAAACAGGCTCCAGGCTCTGAGCCATCAGCCCAGAGCCTGACGCGGGGCTCGAACTCACAGACCGCGAGATCGTGACCTGGCTGAAGTCGGACGCTTAACCGACTGCGCCACCCAGGCGCCCCTAAAGATTTCATTTTTTAAAAATTTCTTTTACATGTTTATTTATTTTTCAGAGACAGAGAGCATGGGCGGGGAAGGGGCAGAGACAGAGCCAGAGTCCGAAGCAGGCTCCAGGCTCTGAGCTGTCAGCACAGAACGTGACTCAGGGCTCGAACCCACAAATTGTGAGATCATGACCTGAGCCTAAGTTGGACACTTAACCGACTGAGACACCCAAGCACCCCTAAACATTTTATCTTTAAGTAATCTCTACACCCAATGTGGGGCTTGAACTCACAACCCCGAGATTAAGAGTCTCATGTTCTACCGCGGAGCCAGCCAGGCGCCCCGGGATTCACGCCTTTCTATACATCCATGAGCACCTGCTAAGAGCAGCATCCAGGCATCTCCCCCATGAATTCTCCACATCCTGAGGCAACACAACCCAGCAGGCTCAGTGGTTCAGAGTGTTACTTCTTCATTAATGCATTAATGTGCTCAGTGCTGGGCACCAAGGGGTCCAGCAGAAGCCACAAAGCCCAGGATCCTGCTCTGATAAAGACCACCCTCCACTGAGGGGAAGAAAGCAATAAACAAGAAAGCACCAACTAGTGACAAGTGGAAGGCAGGGCGAGGTGACAGAGGTAGCTTCTGGCTCCTCATCGAGGTCAGTGACTCTGTCTCTAAGGTGGGGGCTGAGGCCCTCGGACTCCACTCTGGGTGGATCCCATGGCAGGGCCCGCATAGCCTTACGGCCAAAACAAGATTCCGCCTGATTCCTGAACACCCTGCAAGAGTCCGCATCAGCCTGCGCGCTCACTGGGAGGCAAAGGGGCGGCCCCCCAGATTCACCTGCTCTCTAGACCCCGGGGGTTCTAGGTCCTTGGAGGGGCTTTCTTCTCACTGATGTATGAGTCCCCAGTACCCTTTCTGATTTCAGTGAGGAAGCATTATTTTGGGTTTCGGCACGGGAGGGTTGACATGGCACGGCCTTGAGCGCCCACGGGAACAACAGAGTTTACTCTCCTGAATCAACACCCGGCTGGCGGTGACATCACCCCACGGGCCAGCCAGGCTGAGCCAGGCGGTGTCCCCCAGGATGGCACAGCGGCTCTACCTCCTCAGCCACCCGCTGACCCGGCCACCTCCCCCCTCCCCGGGGGTGCTGGCCCTGCAGGGCTCCCCACGGCCCCCTGAGAGTCTGGCTTCCCTGTGGGGCACTTCTCAGGAAGTACGGGGGAGGCTGCCCACACAGGGCCCTCTAGACTCAGCCCTGGCAGAAGAGTGAACCCCATGACCTCATGCCTTGGGCTCTTCCCCCGGGACAGCTGCAACCGTGACGTCTGTGGCGAGTGCTGCTTGGCTCACGGGCGGCGCTGGCAATGTGGCCGAGGAGGCAGGCAGGGGGTCTACCTGGCAGGGGCCGGCACACCGCACGGTGGCCGCCAAGGATCCCGGTGCTCTGAGGAGGGTGGGGAGGAGGGCGGAAGAGCCAGTGGACAGAAGGCTGGCACCAGAGGCTGGGCACAGCCAGGCGCAGCACTTAAAGACCCGAGCAGAGCCAAGGACCTGAGAGGCGCTCACAGAGCAGGCGGCTCGTGCTGGAGGGACACGCGGTCGGGCACTGGGCACGGGAGGGTGCGAGCCCAGGGCGCAAAGGGGACCAGCGTCCCGTGCTGACTATGGCCAGATGCGCAGATACCAGAGGAAGGAACCAGGCGAGGGGCTGGGTGTAGGCGAAGTCGGGGGCACAGCTGGCACGTGGTCAGCCAGAGCCATGGAGGGTCTGGTGCAGGTGGGTGGGATGGGGGCAGGGGCCAGGGCCGAGGGGGAGACTGAGCAAGAGCGTGAGCCGGCGGTGCTGGGACCTGCTGGGACCTGAGGAAGAGACACCACGGCGCAGGGCTCTGGCCGCTCGCTGTGGTCTCACTCCCCCTGCCCAGAGCACTGGACGGCGCTGCCGTGAGGGGAGGTGCTGGCTCCGGGGACCAGCCCACACCGCCATCGCCACCGGAAGGCAGGTGATGGGACCGCTCTGGGAATAATGACGCTGCCCCACCCCCCCCAAGCAGGCCTGGCGTGGA